ATACAGGTACAGTAATATGGTAGGATCTTTTGTTGAGGTGGGAAGAGGAGGATTTTATGATATAATACAGGTACAATTCTTTTGTAGGATCTTTTGTTGAGGTGGGAAGAGGAGGGTGATATGATATAATACAGGTACAGTAATATGGTAGGATCTTTTGTTGAGGTGGGAAGAGGAGGATATGATAGGTTAATAGATACGGGTGATATTACAGAATTGAAATCCTTGGATTGCACAAATGTAGAGGTTGGAAGGGTGATAAACTTATATGAGATAAAGTTACATGCTCATGAGACTGGCATCATACTGGTATTTACCCTAGCTTTATGGATATATCTGCAGTGTAAATGACTTTTAAATCTTAGCATCACTTCTAAATGTGTTTTGAATCCCACCTGTCATATTACAGCAGATTCAACTTGATTTCGTGAAAATTCTGTCCCTGTTTTGAGTAGAATATTCCCTAAGAAATTATGTTTCAATTTGATATAAATTTCATGGAATATAATACACGATGCTGTCTGATAGCAGTTAATGTAATATAGATGCTGTGGTATTAATATTTAATTAAGGCTGAACATGATATTTCTGGGTTGATGTATAGAGCATTCTACAGAACTCCAGAAAGAAATCCAAACCACCAGAGAACATCACAAGTTAGGAATAATATCAAAACCTCATTACACTTTTGGAATGCATCTGACACAATTTTTTTGTGAAGTATCTTTTTACTTAAAACTATTTATAGTATACATTCTAACATGCACATTCTATTTGTGATTTGTGTCAGAGTTAATATTAAATAATTAAATGCTACTGTAAAACGCAGCCATCATAAATACCAGTGATCTTAATTACCAGGTACCTGTGCAAGATTTATTTGTGAAGGAAGTTGTATTGGCATTTTTAATAACAATTCAGACTTACTTGAACATTATAAATGCCTACATTCTTTGCACCTCTAAAATGTGTCACAAATTATTCTTGTTTACCTCTAAAATGAATCATCAATTCTTGTGCACCTTTCCAATATGTCATCAATTCAGTTGTAACTGTCAAATAAATCACCAATTCTTGTGTACCTCGCAGATGTGTCATCAATTCTTGTGTACCTCGCAGATATGTCATCAATTCTTGCGTAGATTCAAAACATGTCACCAATTAATTGTAAGCCAGATTCTTTCATAAAATTGTTCTTCCTATACTTTCTGATGGGGAACTCTGACATTGTGGATCATTATATAAGTAACATATACAAGGAACCAACCTGTTCCTTACTGCTACTCTAGGATATATTATGAACTGTCATATTTGGGGTACTTTTTAAACAATGTTATAGAAATTACTGAATGAAGTGCACTAGCTGTTGCAAGGTACTTACAATGAGAATTGTTATGTATAGGGAGCAGTGAGTAGTTAACAAACCCAGCAGGCAGCTGTATTAAACAACACGCTGTCAGAGCATGTTCTGGTGCTGATGGAGGAAATATGGGAAAGAAAATTTGATAAAGAGGAATTTGTCTAGATAGTATCTATGAATCAGTATATGATTGAGAGGGGACAGGTGTATAGTTAGTAATGTCTAGCTGCTGTGGGATTCATAGATAAGGCAGAGCTGATCAAACATGCTTATACATAACCTTGTGTCAGAATGATATCTAACGAACATAAACGTAATCACACAGGATGTAAAATGTTATATCGTAGAAGTTAGTGTATAATACTAGAATTTGTTAATGGTGTTTACAGAGCCTGTACTGTTACAGATCACCACAGCGATATAACGACACTCCACCCTGATTTAAACTGACATGCTAATAACAAACTGTTTAATGATTTATATATCGGGGTTCCATTAAAATCATAACATTTCTAAATGGTTCTACAAACTAACGTTAAGTGTAAAGATTATGAGTTAAAGTGCCATGTCATGACTGTCATCTCTGCTTTAATGATTTCAAATAAACTCAAATTGATAAAATAAAATCTACTGAATTTTACATATTTATGGGGTATGTTTTGATAATACTAAACCTACATGGTAACTAAAATAATAATGAGGTAATTTGGCGATAGGTAAAACACTTACATACATGTCAGCAATGAGCATACTGGAGCAGTTCAAGATTGCTATCTTAGCTATACATTACAATAGTACAATTTACCTTCTGTGTAAACCTTTGCACCTGGCTGTTTCTCTGCCAGCCCCGTTGATTTACCTGATCTGCGTATCAGGGTTTTGTTCGGTAGTTGGGTTCAGATTCAAATAATAATTGCTGAAATACATCTGCTGGTGTTCTGGCTAATTACACACGTAGGCAGGTATTCAAAGATACTACCAGGTTACATCTGCTTGAATTCTACTTCCACAAAGAAAATAATCTTGTAAGAGAAAGTGAAACATTTTGTAAATTAGTGAACTTTTGTTTTCTAATTATGTCTGACAATTTGTACACCACAGACTGATTACAATATGCTGTTTGCATCAATGACTTAGTTTTTCTACAAAAACTGTCCTAGTTGATGCCAATAAACAGAGTGGCACCATCCCCACTCCTACACCCCATTATTTAATTAACATAATTTGGCATGTTTGCCTCCATCTGTCAAATTTACATATTTTCAACTTCTTCACAAGAACTGACGATTATTAATGAAAATATGTCTGCACAAATTTTGTTTTGCCACCAACCTTGAACAAATTTAAACGATGATTTTCTGCTTAGTCTGAAGACCAATATAACTAAAATACTACTAATTGTCTCACTGTCCCAGGTCCTGATCAGTTCTTATTTTTGCCATCCTCTGTCTCGGAGGAAAATTAAAGTAAGTGTAGGTGCAATTTCCCCCTGGGACTGAGGATGTAGTTTTGCTGGCTGTTTTCAGATCTGTGATGGACACAATAACATCTTACATGTCAGTCCCAGGTCCAAGTTGTTTTATTATCTATAGCCAGTGTATAAAATGTAAAAGTAGTAAAATGTAAACAAGTTATGTAAGATTTGAAGGTTTTAGTTCATTCAGTTCTGGTATATGTCAACTGTGGATTGTACCAGTATAGCAGAATTCATACCCAAGAACCTGTCACAGTATACGTACATTCAAAATCTGTAAGATAACAGGTGGGCTATTAACTGTGCCAATGCTATGAGGCCCATTATAAGGATGTTCTATAAAAGTGTGTGTCAGTTGCCAGTGATGAATCTAGCAGTGATCAATGTCAGTAGATTGACCTTGGACCCATTGCACTAGAATTGGAACTTTGATCTCTTGTAGTAGATTTTGACCTTGGACATATTGTAGTACATTTTGACCTTGGACCCATTGTAGTACATTTTGACCTTTGAACCTTAGTGTTGATGCATTTGATCATCACTTCATGCAAATGTCATGCCAACTGGTACCTTATAGGTGGCAGTATTTAAATGTATGAATTAAAGAAATACAAAATATGCCATGAACTTTGATCTTTGTCTTTCAGGTATGTGGCCACAAGTGGGCAGACCTTTCTGAGTATGGGTTTGGCCTGGCCATACTCAATGACAGTAAATATGGCTACTCCTGCCTGGACAATGTACTCCGACTATCATTGTAAGCTTTATGTCTTATTGGAAATGAACTTGTTTTTATATCCTCTTTGTAAACTCACTCTTATTATAAAATCACTCCTGTATACCAGAAATGTTCACCCAGTCAAAGTTTCACCTTTTGCCCTTCGCCCATCCAACCAATTTTTGCCCAGTGTTAATTTCGCCCTTCACATTTAACTGCTATGCATATTGTGTTGTTTACTTATATTCGCTGCAATGATAACTTGGCTCTTTCACGGAGGGCAAAACAGCAAAATTTAAACTGCGGTGAAAATTTCCTGGTATGCTCATTCTTCAAACGTCATACCAACTGCAATCCCCATGTAGATATAGCCACAATTGATTAAGTCACTTTCACAATCAGCTCTCTACACTATGTAGCCATTCTTTGACTATAAGATTTCCCTGTATATAATCATACTGTCACTAATCTTTCTCCCCATGTGATCATACAATCTACTTTCTATAACAATTTTCTATCCGTAGCTGACTTAATTAATTGTACAGTGCTAATATTTGATTGTTTTCTCATTTAGAAACAATGCATGTTGACAATTTTATGGGGGAGATCGATGTAACTTGATGATGATTATATTATGCAGCAATGAATCATTTTCATATTATTAAGATAAATAAAAGTAGAGATTTATGAAAACATATGCTGAAATATGATATTGTATAACTTCATTAATTAAATCAAAATGCACATTGTTTTATAAATAGTTCTGTCTAGTATGTGATAGTTACTAGTCTTTCTCCATCGGTCAAACTGCCCCTCCATCGGTCAAACTGCCCCTCCAGCGGTCAAACTGCCCCTCCATCGGTCAAACTGCCCCTTCATACTGTCAAACTGCCCCTCCATACTGTCAAACTGCCCCTCCAAACGGTCAAACTGCCCCTCCATTGGTCAAACGGCCCCTCCATCGGTCAAACTGCCCCTTCATCGGTCAAACTGCCCCTCCATCGTTCAAACTGCCCCTCCATCGGTCAAACTGCCCCCCCATACTGTCAAACTGCCCCTCCATCGGTCAAACTGCCCCTTCATACTGTCAAACTTTGGTTGTGACTTTTGATTGATTTAGTTTTCTTTGTCAAAATTATTTAAAATGTTTTTGAAGTTTAAAATTCATTATTTTGCAGACTTCGCTCTCCCAAAGCACCTGATATGAAAGCTGACATGGGAACACATAAGTTTACATATGCAATCATGCCTCATACTGGTAAATATCTATCACATTTTATATACCTACTAGTCCAACTGGAAATGAATATAATTTTGCAATCTGTCCATCATCACTCTCAGAACTCTTGTTAAAATTTCCCCTACCATCGTCAGAAATTGTTCAAATCACCCTTCAAATTTCAATTGAAGGTTTGACCGACAGGTGGCCATTTTGAATTTTGAGAGTTAAAGTTTATCTGTACTCTGTCTCAGAAAGAACTTGAGGGATCTTTCTCAAATTAGCGATGAAGGTTCCCAGCTGTGAGCTATAGTTACATTATGCCTAACAAATTTTGGGATTAATTGGAAAACCAAGGTGGTCAACAGGCAGTCATCTTGAATTTTGACAGCTCAATTTTGTTATCCCTTTTTTCTCAAGAAGTACTAGAAAGAACTTAATCAAATTTCAAAAAATAAGAAAAACAAAATGGTCACCAGGCAGAAATCTTGGATTTTGACAATTTTAGTTTTTTTATCACTATTTCCTAAGAAGCACTAGACAGATCTTTCTCTTTCAACTTGTTACACATTAAGTACTTTGTTAGAAATAGGGAGTTACAGCAACGGTTATTCACTGTTTACATGTCTCAATCCAGCAAAAAGATCCCATCTTAAAAATAGAACCAATGAAGATGGTACAATAGTGGACGCCTAAATCCCTCCAGGATCTCTTGTTATTGATGATGAGCTGTCAGCATGATTGATTAGACAATATTGTTTCAAAAGCACTGGTTTCAAAAAGAATACAGAATTGATATTGAAATATTTAGACCAGCCAATATATATATGCAAAAGTAAGTGATAGTTCATTAGTTGAAATTTGATTGTCAGTGATATAATGAATAGATATGGCAAGTGGCCTTCTGTACAGAGATTGATCGGAGCAGTGTGTTACATCTCAAAAAAAAAAAAAAAAAATCCATTCAGAGGATGCCTTCAGACAAATTGAATTTATGTTATCCAAGTAATTTTCACTGAGGTTTTAATTGGCTCCAATTTTCCCTTTGTCCATCATGAAAAGACCATCGGAAGGAAAAAAGAAAATGCCATAAAATTGGGTCATACTGTCAGTTTTGTGGATTAAGATCTTCATTTCCTGTGAAAAGGAAATATAGTATATTTATATTCATGAGAATCGAGCTGACTTAGTTATCTGTTTGGGCAGACCAAATGACTTGTGTAATATAGGACTGCTGGATGAGATAGAACTTGTACCAGGCTGTAGTCGTTACCAGGACCTATAAGGGCTTACATGGTCTCCTGACAATATCAGGGTCTCTGACTGCTCTCAAACAATGATTTGAAAACTACTTGAAAAAATAGCATTAATTAGTATTGTATTTTTTTGTTTGTTTATAAATGAAAATTGGAAAAAAAGAACCCAACCAACAGCAAAGGTTATTCCATTTTCCAATGAAGCCTGCAGTTATTTAGACAGATCTACATTGTAATACAGAACAGATAATGAAACCTATAGATAATTGTGAAGCTTAGACATGTTTTCATGTTTCAATATGATACACTAAAGCAATGCTAGACCAATAGCCAGAATTTTATATCAAACTTTTACTTTTTACACAAACAATGTACGTATTAAACGTGTCACAACGTTTCAGGACCGACTGGTCCCTTTGTTAAGCTATGACCCAGCTATGACATTGCGACACGTTTAATACGTACATCGTTTGTGTAAAAAGTAAAACTTTGATATCACATATTTCCAAACTGGTGAATCTTATTGAAGATACTAGCCAGAATCTGCCATGCAACATGTTGACACCAAAGCCCTTTTATTCTTATGTTCATTAAACCGTCATTAAGGCTTGTGACGGTTTAATGATGGTTTAATGAACATAAGAATAAACTAGTGTTAATGATCAATTAGTGAATCTACCCCTAAAAATGTGCAGTTGGAAAGGTCATTTTAGAGATCATTAACAAATGAAGACTATTGATGACCAATGATGCTTTGACCATCATCATATATTTGTTGTTTAACTAAATTTTGAGAAACAGTTCGCTATAAATATTTGTGCAAGGTCATAATTTTGTTAATGATTTCTTGGTAGGTTGAAGGTTTAGTTAATCATAAAGGTCATTCTGTTAACCAACCCTGATGTCAGGACAATATATATATGTTTTCAAAATTTAAAAATTACCTTAAATAAAATAATGGAAATTTATTCTCCAATCACTGACTGCAAAATATCTGGTACAGTCAACATGTCAACGACAGCTTGATTAAATACCATCAGAGTTATGAGTTATGAGAGTCTGATAAACTACACACTGGAACCATTAGAAGGTTATTACAGTACAGTATACATAACCTGTATATATATGTACTGTAGGTTCACTGTTTTACTGTACTTAACGAGATAACAGTTAGTGATTTGGTACAGAGCAGATTATCAGAAGGAAGTAAATCATTGATTGCTATAAAACATATCAGCTGTTCACATTTACTTCATTTTACAATGGAAATCAAGCAGAAATGAATGCAATTACAAGCACCTAGGTGAGCTTGATTAATCTGAATATGATTCGGGAGGTGACATAGATTGATGACGCTGTACTTGAGATGTTTGGTGGTATGAGTAGATTCCAGCCAGCGGTTGTCCTAGATATCTAATCCTGACTCACATCACCAAGCCAAGCTTGAACAATGAACTCTTGATGGTTTCCAATAGAATAAAGATGTCAACAATATTAGCCATTAGGAAATTCATTGAGAAGTTGTGTAGAGATTTACATATTGTTAGGTATCAGCTTAAACTGGGACAGCTTAAACTGCTCAAATCAGAATGATGGAGTGTGCTATTTTTTGTCACCATGACATATTTTTACCACATGGTACATGTAACATAATAATTTCAGATACAATATGACAATATGAACTGATCAGATATCTTGAATTAATGCAATGGTGTGTGCCATGTATCCCCTGTAAATTCTCAGCAAATTTGGAAAAGGAATTTGTGTGCTATATCTCACTGTATGACTGTATGTGGCAGCTAATGTGTTGAATTCCTTTTTAAAAAATAGGGTTTACTTCTACGCCCTCTTTAAGTATTGATCTGCTGCCTCATTGCAACATTAGAGACCTCTGTCCTTTGTTATATGTTATACCCTCATGCCCTTATGTTGAGGACGTTCGTTGCCATGCACATGTCCCAAACAGCATCTATGGTCAAAAACTAGTCACTGTTTTACTTTATTTCTTTTACAATCATCACAAAACATCACACACAACATCTCTGGTTTGCATTTCAACCTTCTGTGGTCAAAAATTCACATTTCTTATGTTTTTGAAGTGCAAGGTATTTGTATCATATGTAGTGCCTTATTTCCTCTTTCACCTCCTTCCTTTTGGATGTATCTCCACACGCTTTGCTGGCTATCTAGTCAGATTAATGTGGCCTGCTGGTAGGATGTCTTGTATTGTGTCCAAGTTGTGTGACGTTTCATTCTGGTAGCACTTAAAAGTTGTTAGCAGTTGTTTAGCTTAATCATCAGCAGACACCCAATTGTCATATGTATGACCTTAGCTGTTCCAAAATGCTAAACCCCAAACAAAATGTTTTTTCAGCTTCAGATTTTCTCTAAACTGCATTCCAGTGTTAGTGCCCAAGCTGTAATTGTCATCATTTATTGAAACCTGTATTTCTTGACTATGTTTGGTACATGAACTTTAAATTCTTGGTTCAGCTCTAAAATATTGAATACAGTAGTAGCAGTTGCCAGTTGCAGATCTTTTCTCACGATTTTTGTGAATCAGTTTCCAATTGCCTCTTTTCATGAGTTGTTGTGATTTCTTACTTGTTTTCTAAAAACCTGCATGGGAATGGGGATATGTTTTAAAAATTGACTCTGGTATGAAAGATTTATTTGCGGTCTTTCAAAATAAATTATCCATTAAAGTGCATGTGCACTTTATTTAGTTGATAATAGATACTTGTTATAATTTATTGTATAATGTTATCAATTTGATGGCTGGCGATCCTTCCCGTCATCGGGTAGATATTTGTTGCAGCAGATTGCATGGTTATCAGATATGTACATTGAGATGGTTTCATGAGGCTGTTTCATGGATCGGTTCACTTCTGACTAGAATATCAATCCACGCCATAATAAAATCATTTCTGCCATCCTTCAGCCTTTACCGACAAGCCATGAGGCTCATTCAGTCTAAATAGGCATACATGCTTGGTTGAAAAATATCATGCAAAGTATTATTGTAATGGAATCTGAATCGGTGATCTAGCTATAAGCATCACAGCAGACCTAAATGGCGGACATTTATCAGGGGAAATTTCAGGATTACAAGATTTGGAAATTGTTCCTGAAATATCTGTGTGTGATAGCATGTTGTCGTGCCCTGGAGCGATGCTGGAAACATTAACGGAGGCTTATTCTATAGAAACGTTATCAAGTTTTGTACACTATGCCACTAATGCTGACGGTTTGATAGAGTAGCATTGTCATTACATGTTTTCTTACCTATCGGTAACATGGACATTCCAATCTACTCCGTAGCTGTCAGCCTTATCATCATACCCAGACATTGATGGTGTAAATCTTCGTCATCACACTTTAAATAATCGTAAAAGAACTAACGATTAGGCTAGTTGTTGACAACAAGGTTTACCAGAATGAAATCTACACTGTAATAAAGATTGTATTTTTTTCTCCTCATTACGCCATAAACATAGTATGTCTGTGAATCATTCTGTTCCCCACCTAGTGTGTCATTACATGTAGTAAACATAGGTGTTACTTATGTTTGTGAACATTTCTAAATCTGCAGTTGACTCATTTTATTGGTCTTTTGCCATCATTAAGCGTATAATCCGGTCCACTTTGAAATAGTTGTGGCATTACAGCTATTGTAAATTACATTCCTATTAAAAAAACAATTAGAGAATCTACAAATGCAGCAGTGTCTGTATTTTTGGAAAGTTAGAAACTTTGTGACCAAATATAGATTTCACCAACAAGTCTGTTACCCAGGTACTTAAGTTATAGATTGTTTTGCTTGTGAATGCTTCTTAATCTTCCAGCCATGTATTTGTAAAATTATATTGTTCATAATAATTAATGATCATATCAATATCACTTATTATAAAATTTGAGATGCTTTCGGCTGTATTGTCTTCTGGAAAATGATCATGCAGTGATATATATTTTAAAAATAGCAATAAACTGTTTCCATGGTGATGTGGACTGATAAATAAGTAATGTTGTTTCCATGGTGAGGTTATATACTGTTTATGTGATTCTGATTCTATGGATTGTCAGTTTCATGACTACTGTTTCCATAGTGATTTTGACTGGTAGATGAATGCTGGTGAAACCCTCAAAGGTGATGTTGTTGGGTTACCAGAAACACTAGTGAAAAATATGATATGAATCGAAATCCATGTGATCTGGGCAGATTATATATATATAATTAAGAGATAAAATTTGCTGTAAATTACAAGAAGGGAATACATATCTCATTGGTTAGAAAATAATCACGTTTCTATAAAGAATTGATGGTAAAAGATGTTGCATAATTCATTGTGTTGTCTTGTTTTGTACAGGATCATTCCAAGAGGCAGGTGTAATACAACAGGCCTATAACCTCAACTACCCACTGTATGTTCAGAAGAGAGTTGGAACAGGGGACACAACTCTTGTCAAAAACACGGCTCAAGACCCCAAAAGTTTCTTCCAACTGGACACCCCACAGGTGATCCTAGAGACTGTCAAAAGGGTAAGATACTCATTACTAATGGTGTAAGGCTCAAAAGTCCCCACGATGATCCTAGAGACTGTCAAAAGGGTAAGGTGCACATTACCAATAGCGTAGGGCTCAAAGATTCGGACCCCACAGGTCATCCTAGAGACTGTCAAAGGGGTAAGGTACACATTACCAATAGTGTAGGGCTCGAAGGTCCCAACAGGTCATCCTAGAGACTGTCAAAAGGGTAAGATACTCATTACTAATAGTGTAAGGCTCAAAAGTCCCCACAGGTGATCCCAGAGACTGTCAAAAGGGTAAGGTGCACATTACCAATAGTGTAGGGCTCAAAGGTTCGGACCCCACAGGTCATCCTAGAGACTGTCAAAAGGGTAAGATACTCATTACTAATAGTGTAGGGCTTGAAGGTCCCCACAGGTCATCCTAGAGACTGTCAAAAGGGTAAGATACTCATTACTAAGTGTAAGGCTCAAAGGTCCCCATTAGTGATCCTAGAGACTGTCAAAAGGGTAAGGTGCACATTACCAATAGTGTAGGGTCAAAGGTCCCCACTAGTGATCCTAGAGACAGTCAAAAGGGTAAGATACACATTACCAATAGTGTAGGGCTCAAAGGTCCTCACTAGTCATTCTAGAGACTTTCAAAAGGGTAATGTGCACATTACCAAAAGTGTAGGGCTCGAAGGTCCCAACAGGTCATCCTAGAGACTGTCAAAAGGGGAAGATACTCATTACTAAGTGTAAGGCTCAAAAGTCCCCACAGGTGATCCTAGAGACTGTCAAAAGGGTAAGGTGCACATTCCCAATAGTGTAGGGCTCAAAGGTCCCCACTAGTGATCCTAGAGACAGTCAAAAGGGTAAGATACACATTACCAATAGTGTAGGGCTCAAAGGTCCCCACAGGTTATCCTAGAGACTGTCAAAAGGGTAAGGTGCACATTCCCAATAGTGTAGGGCTCAAAGGTCCCCACTAGTGATCCTAGAGACAGTCAAAAGGGTAAGATACACATTACCAATAGTGTAGGGCTCAAAGGTCCTCACTAGTCATTCTAGAGACTTTCAAAAGGGTAATGTGCACATTACCAAAAGTGTAGGGCTCGAAGGTCCCAACAGGTCATCCTAGAGGCAGTCAAAAGGAAAAGTACTCCTTACTAATAGTGTAAGGCTCAAAGGTCCTCACTAGTGATTCTAGAGACAGTCAAAAGGGTAAGGTGCACATTACCAATAGTGTAGGGTCAAAGGTCCCCACTAGTGATCCTAGAGACAGTCAAAAGGGTAAGATACACATTACCAATAGTGTAGGGCTCGAAGGTCCCAACAGGTCATCCTAGAGGCAGTCAAAAGGAAAAGTACTCCTTACTAATAGTGTAAGGCTCAAAGGTCCTCACTAGTGATTCTAGAGACAGTCAAAAGGGTAAGGTGCACATTACCAATAGTGTAGGGTCAAAGGTCCCCACTAGTGATCCTAGAGACAGTCAAAAGGGTAAGATACACATTACCAATAGTGTAGGGCTCAAAGGTCCTCACTAGTCATTCTAGAGACTTTCAAAAGGGTAATGTGCACATTACCAAAAGTGTAGGGCTCGAAGGTCCCAACAGGTCATCCTAGAGACTGTCAAAAGGGGAAGATACTCATTACTAAGTGTAAGGCTCAAAAGTCCCCACAGGTGATCCTAGAGACTGTGAAAAGGGTAAGGTGCACATTACCAATAGTGTAGGGTCAAAGGTCCCCACTAGTGATCCTAGAGACAGTCAAAAGGGTAAGATACACATTACCAATAGTGTAGGGCTCAAAGGTCCTCACTAGTGATTCTAGAGACTTTCAAAAGGGTAAGGTGCACATTACCAAAAGTGTAGGGCTCGAAGGTCCCAACAGGTCATCCTAGAGACAGTCAAAAGGAAAAGTACTCCTTACTAATAGTGTAAGGCTCAAAGGTCCTCACTAGTGATTCTAGAGACTTTCAAAAGGGTAAGGTGCACATTACCAAAAGTGTAGGGCTCAAAGGTCCCCACAGGTTATCCTAGAGACTGTCGAAAGAGTAAAGTACACATTACCGATAGTGTAGGCCTCAAAGGTCCCCACAGGTCATCCTAGAGACTTTCAAAAGGGTAAGGTGCACATTACCAATAGTGTAGGGCTCAAAGGTCCCCACAGGTCATCCTAGAGACAGTCAAACAGGTAAGGTACACATAACGAATAGTGTAGGGTTCAAAGGTCCCCACAGGTCATCCTAGAGACAGTCAAACGGGTAAGGTACACATAACGAATAGTGTAAGGCTCGAAGGTCCTCACAGGTGATCCTAGAGACTGTCAAAAGGAAAAGTATTCATTACCAATAGTGTAGGGCTCAAAGGTCCCCACAGGTCATCCTAGAGACTGTCAAACGGGTAAGGTACACATTACCAATAGTGTAGGGCTCGAAGGTCCCCACAGGTCATCCTAGAGACTGTCAAACGGGTAAGGGACACATAACGAATAGTGTAGGGTTCAAAGGTCCCCACAGGTCATCCTAGAGACTGTCAAACGGGTAAGGTACACATAACGAATAGTGTAGGGTTATAAGGTCCCCACAGGTCATCCTAGAGACTGTCAAACGGGTAAGGTACACATAACGAATAGTGTAGGGTTCAAAGGTCCCCACAGATCATCCTAGAGACAGTCAAATGGGTAAGGTACACATAACGAATAGTGTAAGGCTCGAAGGTCCTCACAGGTGATCCTAGAGACTGTCAAAAGGAAAAGTATTCATTACCAATAGTGTAGGGCTCAAAGGTCCCCACTAGTGATTCTAGAGACTTTCAAAAGGTTAAGGTGCACATTACCAATAGTGTAGGGCTCGAAGGTCCCCACAGCTTGCTAGGATAAAGGGCTACCAAGTTTGTTAAAATGAATAACCTTGGCTTATTTTCAAGGTCACAGTCGTCAAATATGTTTAAAATATTTATACAACTTCTTCTGAATAACCATGATGCCTACAATGTTGAAATTTGGCCAGTAGCATGCTTGGATGAATGGCTACAAAGTCATTTGATTGACCTTGACCTTCTTTTAAGGTCACATTTGGCCAAATATGTATAAACCTAATCTCAATCAACAAAAGGTCTAGGGTGGTGATATATGGCAAGTTGCATGCTGAGATGAAGGGCTATCAAGTTTGTTCAATGTAATGACCTTGTTCAACTTTCAAGGTCACATGGGTCAAATGTTTTAAAATCTTTCAACAGGTTCTTTTGAATGACATAAAGTCATAAATACTGATATTTTACCTGTAGCTTTAGTTTAGATCACTTTTAAGGTTGCAAGTGTGGGATTAATACCAGATGAGAGATGCAGGCCCATTGGGCCTCATGTTAATTTTCTGTGATGTGATTTGCTTCTTATTTAAAATGATCAGTATGTTTGCACTCAATTTTAGATTCAAACTTAATTTTCACATAATTCAATGGATGTTTCTATAATACTATCAATTTGAAGTTAAAGAAAAAGGATGGAGGGAGTGGAAATTTTGAGTTAACATGGCTGATATGTTACCTCCAGGGTCAGTCTTAATCTAATTTCAAGGTCTCATTTAACAATGATTTAATAGACTGGGGCTTTCTTGTTGACAGGCCAAAGTAAATTAATTTTTATTATTGATTAAAATGGGAAAAAAATAAATGAAATCAGTTTTAGTGAAGAAAGAAGATTTATCGATAAATCTACAATTTCAGATAAAACAGGAAGGCTGAAATATTTTTTTGGGAAGGAGCTAGAAACTACGAAGGAAATGGGATACAACACATACTCCATACCCAGTAAATAAACGCGATGAATAATAAAAAACTTGATATTCCATCAAACATCTTGTGAATCTGTATGACACGTCAGATAAGATTGTGCTGTGGTGTGAATCTGTATGACACGTCAGATAAGATTGTGCCGTGGTGTGAATCCAATAGATAAGATCCTAATAGCTTTTCTCTTATTTAACTTTCTCACTCATTTCTTTCATTTCTTCTATTTCTTATTTTCTTTTCAAATGGAAGAATGGGGGACGCTACAGTAAATAAAAAATAAATGGTTTTACGTCATTGATCAGATATCGACACAATGCTGGAACAAATGTTTGCAATGTTTTTAATTCATCAACCTACCTCTGTGACAAGTTATTCTGTGAAACATTTAATGATATTAAATCATACGGAAATTCATCAGAGTTTGATAGAAACCATAATCATTTTGAAAGAAACATGAAAAATAAAAGAATTAATGCACGGTTGATGGATTTGCTAAAGAAAGTGAAGGTTTTATTTCAGTATTCAGCTGATAAAGATTGAAAATCGTTGTTAAAATGAATGATAATTTTTATTTCTGAGTAAGGAAAGGGTTATATACAAATGAATAATAGAGATGAGGTTTTATGATGTCAAAGCTGTGATGTATGGTTACAAATAGAATGGGTTTTATGGAAATCTTCACAATTTTATGACATATGAAATATCAGGAGAAGTACATAACTGCCTTTTGTGACAAGTACCAGAGAGAACTCGGGGACCGCTAATTAGACAGGTGACAAATGGAGTTGGGTTTGAGTCGATATTAAAGTGCTTCTTTAAAAAACACCATATATGGTTATCTGTCAAAATATCAATAAGACAGAATTTTAAAAATTTAACTTAAAATTATTAAAATGTAACAAAGGAATTCAATTAAATAGAATGATTTAGAATGGGGAAAAATAAATCAGCTGACAAAAAAAATTAAACATTTAATATTTATCTAATTTAATGTAAGATGATAAAGACAATACACACATTTAATATTTGCAGAAAAGGCAACATGGTTTACAAAGTTTATTTGACATGGTCCAAACACAGGTATATTACATGAGAATGTTTAACTGTTTTGTGACTAATATTTGTTATTGTTGATTTGATACTGCACTTTCAGTGTGAGAAGAAGACGAGGAGCCTTGTGCTGAGGCTGTATGAAGCTTTCGGCGGGGAGACTCGAGCCTGTCTCACTTCTTCTGTTCCATTTACCAACATTTACAGGCAAGTTTATATGTCCTCTTAGTGTCTTTTAAAGTATAAATTTTATTCTTACTGCATCAAAAAATATCAATATTATTTAGTCCAATTACATCATTAAGTAAAAAATAATATTTATCTACCATTTTGATTCAAATCTTAGCCAAGATTTCACTAGAATGCCAACAGTTTTTGTCTCGCCGCCACAAAGTAGCGGAAGCGAGACTAAGGTGTTGCTTTTCCGGCAATGGTGGCGGCAACATTAATTTTTTGCGTTTATGTTAGTTTCTCTGAAAGTATAAGTGCTCGACTAACCAAACCTGGACCATAGATGCATCTTAGGTAGTACATCTCAACACATGCATCAAATGCTGGATGTGGCCTAGCAACCTTTATTATAAGGTTGAGATATTATATGGAGTGTATTTTACCAATGTGCTGAACCATATTTTCATATTTTAGCGGACAAAAACAGCTTAATTGGACTTAATTGGTTTAAGTTTTTGGGCAAGCTAGAGGTTAAAGTTTTTGGGCAAGCTAGAGGTTATATTAGAGGTTAAAGTTTTTGGGCAAGCTAAAGGTTAAAGTTTTTGGGCATGCTAGAGGTTAAAGTTTTTGGGCAAGCTAGAGGTTAAAGTTTTTGGGCAAGCTAGAGGTTAAAGTTTTTGGGCAAGCTAGAGGTTAAAGTTTTTGGGCAAGCTAGAGGTTAAAGTTTTTGGGCAAGCTAGAGGTTAAAGTTTTTGGGCAAGCTAGAGGTTAAAGTTTTTGGGCAAGCTAGAGGTTAAAGTTTTTGGGCAAGCTAGAGGTTAAAGTTTTTGGGCATGTTTTTTGTGCATGTTTGGATCAGCACCATCAATAGGCTGTTGTCTATTATTAAGTTGAAGTATTTATATGGTGTGTAAGTAATGTGCTGAACCATATTTTCATATTTTAGGGGAATAAAAAGAAATATTGGCATCATTAAAAAGGGGTTTGGCAATAAATTGAGGGAAAGGTATGAAGGAATTCTTAAGAAAAACATACTTAAAGCTTACAGTGCAAGTTAAAAAGCTTCCAATTGAGATTAAAAAAAAGACAGTTTATGTTTTTCTGGTTTAGAGATCTTCCCCATCTCTTCCTTCTACCGTTTCTAAGGAAGTGCCAACATTTTACTTTGTCCTTACTTGGTAACGAGTAAGGGTTTCGCTGGGTATTAAAAACGCATTACCCGTCAAACCGGTTATCATTTGTTCAATATGTGCACAAGGTGACACTACTTTACTATATATAGAGAATACTTTCACGCACAATGTTTTACCAACATTTTGTATCAGATCAGTTGAATAAAATTGAAACACATCAAAGATATCATTCATCTAAGAAAAGTGGAAATAGTAGTAAAATATGACCAATTTAAATATCTAATGCACAATCCCTGCCAATGCCAACACACTTGCACAAAATAAACCAACATATCTATTTGACAGAAAACCCATGCCTGGAAATAAGCCCACCCATATCTATGCCAGTTCAGTAGAAATGTCAATGAATACTTTCATTTTCCTTCAATAGTTCCATCTCCCCTACTTTGAGTCACAAATTGTATGTTGGGCCCCTGCTGGGCTTACTTCAGGAGACATACAGAACAGGTATACTCATCAAAAATGTTATATTTCTGGTGCTGATATAGGGGACAGTCTTTTTAGGAGATTTCCTTATCATTGATATTAATATATAATTTAAATGCTGGTGATTTTCTAATTGTATAAGACAAAAGAAAAAACCCACAACTGTTAAATAAGATTAACTGTAACTGATTTGGTACGTCACCGATACTTTATAGTGTTAGAGTTTATGTTGATGACAGTCTACGAGTGTTTGCGTTGATGACAGTCTACGAGTGTTTGCGTTGATGACAGTCTACGAGTGTTTGTGTTGATGACAGTCTACGAGTGTTTGTGTTGATGACAGTCTACAAGTGTTTGTGTTGTTGACAGTCTACAAGTGTTTGTGGCGAGAACCACACACATAAGCTTCGCAGTAATTACCATTCCCACAAACAGGCTTACTGCAGATCATTGTCTGGTCCAGCTTGCCTTGGTAGTGTCCTTGTGCAACAGGGAAATGTGTTTGTTACAGTAACAGAGAACAACAGAACTCGGTGAACCATCAAACTTGCTTAAGATCGTAACAGACACATACTTTACTAAATTTATCTTCAGACAGACAAAGAACACACCTTAATGAACCTTCTAACACTAACGGATGTAGAAAAGCCCAGCTTAGTGTATCTCTATGCTGAGTAAAGACATCTAGGCAAAAAGAATGAATTAATAAACCTTCTGACTGGCTTATAACAGTAACAGGCAGACAACTACAAGAACTTGGTGAAACTTCCTCAGACATGGTTAATACAGTAAATTACAAAAATATATATATACAGAGCTTCACCTCATCCCAGAAATAATTTAACCTCCCTGAGAAATACAGCACAAAGGTTGTTTCTTCTAGTTACATTTTCGTACATTTTCATAAATGAATACATCAGAAGGATGCTAAGTATGTGAGGTTGACATGGAGTGGCCTTTATTGTACCATAACTGCGCAACTCTTGTATTTCATTACATATCTTTGTCAGAAAAAAATAGGAAGTAACTTTCATTATTCAGAATTTAAAGGAAAAACCAAGAGACTAGTCAAAAAAAGTATACACCGATAACAGTTTATCTCAACAGTCCCTCCCTCCATTCTTGATCCCCCTCCCCGTACCCAAACTTCATTTTAGAGGGTATCCTGATTATCCTTTAATAGTTGTGTGTTATTACAATGATTTCCCCACACAAAATCCACAGTTCTTAGCTTTAGGAGAGTTTTGTACTCTTGATGTGAAAAAACTATTATGGGTGGCAAGGAGAGTTGTTTTGATTAAGTCTAATGGTGATTCTGCCAATAAATGAAAGGGACAATAATGAGATTATCAAATTTGTAGTTTAACAATAAAATTTGCCGTTGACATTCTATGAAATTGTTTTCATTACAAGGAAGCTATAATTCAATCAGATACGGAAGATAACATAGAATTTCGATAATGTCGTAGGGAGTGTTGATACAGTATTGAGAATAGATTAATTATGGCTATAAATATTGAATACATCTATAATTGTTTTGGTTTTTTGCTCAGCTAGCCCAAATATGTTCAAGCTCATTTTAAAAAAAAATCTGATGATTGTCCATCCTTCTATAACTTTTCTCATTTTCAATAGGATCTGCTGGCATGAGATCAGATAATCGTTCTGTGTGTAGATTTTTAGCTCGTCTATTCGAAGAATAGGGGGGCTATAGCAGTACCCATGGCGTTGGCGTCCCACTTGGTTAAAGTTTTTGGGCAAGCTGTGATTTGGAGTTTAACTGAACTTTTGATTAATTTTTCATTGTAGATAGATTTGTGTATGGAGAAGTGCACAACACTTTCTAATTTTTTATATAACCGCCGGGTTCATGGGGATCAAATAATTGAAAATGAAAAAAATAAAAATCTTCTGTGATGATGATATAAAGCATCAAAAAAGTTTCTGACTACAAGTGATGGCATATTAGATTCACAACTGTTGGTAATAGACGAGATATGCTGTTCTACGACAGCTCTTGGTTTTTTTGGCGCTGTTTCTTCTTGAGAAAGACCAAGATTTAAATTAGATTTAGCTCACATCTTACACATCACATTAATCTGTGGGAGGGTGACCTCATCCTTCTACTAACTCCTCCTTACAGTCTACTAACTCCTCCTTATAGTCTACTAACTCCTCCTTACAGTCTACTTACTCCTCCTAACAATCTACTAACTCCTCCTTACAGTCTACTTACTCTTCCTTACAGTCTACTAACTCCTCCTTACAGTCTACTAACTCCCAACTCCTCCTTACAGTCTACAAACTCCTCCTTACAGTCTACTAACTCTTCCTTACATTCTACTAACTCCTCCTTACAGTCTTCTAACTCTTCCTTACAGTCTACTAACTCCTCCTTACAGTCTACTAACTCCCAACTCCTCCTTACAGTCTACAAACTCCTCCTTACAGTCTACTAACTCCTCCTTACAGTCTACTTACTCCTCCTTACAGTCTACTAACTCCTCCTTACAGTCTACTAACTCCTCCTTACAGTCTACTAACTCCTCCTTACAGTATACTAACTCCTCCTTACAGTCTACTAACTCCTCCTTACAGTCTACTAACTCCTCCTTACAGTCTACTAACTCCTCCTTACAGTCTACTAACTCCTCCTTACAGTCTACTAACTCCTCCTTACAGTCTACTAACTCCTCCTTACAGTCTACTAACTCCTCCTTACAGTCTACTAACTCCTCCTTACAGTCTACTAACTCCTCCTTACAGTCTACTAACTCCTCCTTACAGTCTACTAACTCCTCCTTACAGTCTACTAACTCCTCCTTACAGTCTACTAACTCCTCCTTACAGTCTACTAACTCCTCCTTACAGTCTACTAACTCCTCCTTACAGTCTACTAACTCCTCCTTACAGTCTACTAACTCCTCCTTACAGTCTACTAACTCCTCCTTACAGTCTACTAACTCCTCCTTACAGTCTACTAACTCCTCCTTACAGTCTACTAACTCCTCCTTACAGTCTACTAACTCCTCCTTACAGTCTACTAACTCCTCCTTACAGTCTACTAACTCCTCCTTACAGTCTACTAACTCCTCCTTACAGTCTACTAACTCCTCCTTACAGTCTACTAACTCCTCCTTACAGTCTACTAACTCCTCCTTACAGTCTACTAACTCCTCCTTACAGTCTACTAACTCCTCCTTACAGTCTACTAACTCCTCCTTACAGTCTACTAACTCCTCCTTACAGTCTACTAACTCCTCCTTACAGTCTACTAACTCCTCCTTACAGTCTACTAACTCCTCCTTACAGTCTACTAACTCCTCCTTACAGTCTACTAACTCCTCCTTACAGTCTACTAACTCCTCCTTACAGTCTACTAACTCCTCCTTACAGTCTACTTACTCCTCCTTACAGTCTACTAACTCCTCCTTACAGACTACTAACTCCTCCTTACAGTCTTCTAACTCTTCCTTACAGTCTACTAACTCCTCCTTACAGTCTACTAACTTTTCCTTACAGTCTACTAACTCCTTCTTACAGTCTACTTACTCCTCCTTACAGTCTACTAACTCCCAACTCCTCCTTACAGTCTACTAACTCCCAACTCCTCCTTACAGTCTACTAACTCCTCCTTACAGTCTACTAACTCTTCCTTACAGTCTACTAACTCCTCCTTACAGTCTACTAACTCCTCCTTACAGTCTACTAACTTCTCCTTACAGTCTGCTAACTCCTCCTTACAGTCTACTAACTCCCAACTCCTCCTTACAGTCTACTTACTCCTCCTTACAGTCTACTAACTCCTCCTTACAGTCTACTAACTCCCAACTCCTCCTTACAGTCTACTAACTCCTCCTTACAGTCTACTAACTCTTCCTTACAGTCTACTAACTCCTCCTTACAGTCTACTAACTCCTCCTTACAGTCTACTAACTTCTCCTTACAGTCTGCTAACTCCTCCTTACAGTCTACTAACTCCCAACTCCTCCTTACAGTCTTCTAACTCCTCCCTACAGTCTACTAACTCCTCCTTACAGTCTTCTAACTCCTCCTTACAGTCTACTAACTCCTCCTTACAGTCTACTAACTTCTCCTTACAGTCTGCTAACTCCTCCTTACAGTCTACGTACTCCCAACTCCTCCTTACAGTCTACTAACTCCCAACTCCTCCTTACAGTCTTCTAACTCCTACTTACAGTCTACTAACTCCTCCTTACACTCTACCAACTCCTCCTTACAGTCTACTAACTCCCAACTCCTCCTTACAGTCTTCTAACTCCTCCCTACAGTCTACTAACTCCTCCTTACAGTCTTCTAACTCCTCCTTACAGTCTACTAACTCCTCCTTACATTCTACTAACTCCTCCTTATAGTCTACTAACTTCTTGACAGTCTACTTACTCCTCCTTACAGTCTACTAACTCCTCCTTATAGTCTATCCTTACAGTCTTTTAACTCCTCCTTATAGTCTACTAACTTCTTGACAGTCTACTTACTCCTCCTTACAGTCTACTTACTCTTCCTTACAGTCTATCCTTACAGTCTTTTAACTCCTCCTTATAGTCTACTAACTTCTTTACAGTCTACTTACTCCTCCTTACAGTCTACTAACTCCTCCTTACATTCTACTAACTCCTCCTTACAGTCTTCTAACTCNTACAATCTACTAACTCCTCCTTACAGTCTACTTTCTCCTCCTTACAGTCTACTAACTCCTCCTTACAGTCTACTTACTCATCCTTACAGTCTACTTACTCCTCCTTACAGTCTACTAACTCCCAACTCCTCCTTACATTCTACTAACTCCTCCTTACAGTCTACTAACTCCTCCTTACTGTCTTCTAACTCCTCCTTAAGCATTTAAAGGATTCCAGCAGAACTTACCTATCAAACTTTATATACATCTGTTTTTTGTGAACAGACATGTTATTTCAGTGCCTTTGAAAGAGATGTGGCCCTTGTTTGTAATAATTTGCACATCTTTGCACATCCTTATTCATATTAAGTTATTCAGTCATTTAATTTCATGCAGCCCTATTCGACAAAAACTTATTACAGCATAAATGAACTCGGATTATCCTCTTGAACATTTGAATTGATATAGGGACAATAAGATATGACAATTCAAAACCATTACGCTAAGTGGGCCATGCTTAGGTTGAAATTATCCCCTGGGGAACAGGTTCATTTTTTACTGATTCATAATTCAAAATAACTACTGTAGCCTCTGATAATTAGCTGAGACATAGTCAGTGTCTCTTGAAATTAAAACACTCAGGCCTCAACAAATTACTTTTTAACAGAACTCATGGCCTTGAAAGAGATTCAAAATGAAAATAAAGTCACAGTGGCTTCTGATAATAAAGATATTTGGTTATTTCTCCTAAAATTCCATAAAGCTGTTAAAATTGTTAATGGAAAAAAGAAAAAAAATGGCCTTGTCCATGTTAAATGGAATGCAAAAATGTCCCACAGCCTCAAAATAGATCCTGGTGACCGTGACGTATATATGATAAAAACCTTCAAAGTATCAGGACACTTATAGGGAGGGAGGGGTAGTCAGTTTCTTCACTGTTATGATGAAGGGAAGCCTGTTGTAATGACACTCATGGATCAATATCCAGCAAGAGGTTGGGGACCGATTATACTGGTTTTCACAGCACTCTTGTCTGTCCTCACATACTCTGTCATGTCTCCCGCCGCTAAATCGCATTAGCTTTTGTAATAATTCAAATCTAAATTAAACCCTTAGTTACTGGATGTGCTCATCTTGTTTTTGTTGATTCTACAAAACAGATTTTCAACTGTGGGTCTAGTCCCCCAGGGGCCCGATGGGCAGGGCCCACTAGGGGAATATAACAAATTCCTTAAAATCCTTTTTCTTCTATAGGAATGAAAGGATTTGGTCCATATTTGGTAAGAAGCATCCTTGGGTGAAGGGGAACCAATTTTGTATAAACCATGGGTCTGGCCCCCAGGGGCCTGAGGGGAGGGGCCCAATAGGGGAAACATAGCAAATTATTCTTTAAAATCCTTCTTCTTCTGTAGGAATAAAAGGATTTGGTCCATATTTGGTGTGGAGCATCCTCGGGAAAAGGGGAACCAATTTTGTATGAACGGTGGTTGTGGCCTCCCTGAGGGCTGAGGGGCAGGGCCCAATAGGGGAAATATAGCAAATTCTTTAAAATCCTTCTTCTGTAGGAATGAAAGGATTTGTTCCATATTTGGTCTGAAGCATCCTTGTGTGAAGGGGAACCAACTTGTATAAACCGTGGGTCTGGCCCCCCAGGGGCCTGAAGGGTGGGGCCCAATAGGGAAACAAAGCAAATTTTCTTCAAAATCCTTCTTCTGAAGGAATGAAAGGATTTGGTCCATATTTAGTGTGGAGCATCCTTGGGTAAAGGGGAACCAATTTTGTATAAACGGTGTGTCTGACCCCCCCCTAGAGGCAGAGAGTCGGGGCCCAATAGGGGAAATAGAGGTTAAAGTTTTCAAATCTTTCTTCTACCATAGGGATTAAGGGATTGTATCCTAATTTAGTCTTTGGGTCAAGGGGACTCAATTTTGTATAATTTGTGGGTATGACCCCCTTAGGGCATAGGGGTGGGGCTTGACTGTTTGAAGTTTGTTCTTGCTATATCTCAAGTACTTGATCCCCCCCGATCTTTCTGAAATTTCATTTGTGCTTACAGCACCTATTATTGAGTGCTATATCTTTACTTCATACCAAATATTTTAAACATATATTCAGGTGAGCGATACAGGACCTCTGGGCCTCTTGTTACTTGTTCCTGCCATTTATTTCTGTTGAGGTCAATTGGTAAACTGGTACTTTCTGTCAAAATATAATCTTGTGCTGCAGAATATTGTCAGCTCTTGTAATCATTCAAATCTAAATGATTCCCTAGGTTACTCGAAAACCATGAGCTCTTTCATTACACAGAACACCCTGCGATCTGTTGTCACCAGTAATAAAAAAGGATTTATTTTACATTATTGTTGGTACTTAAAGTAGTTTCTTTTATTATAGTCATCCTTCCAGCATGATATTTTTCTGCGCAACAACTTCTTTTAAATAATCAAAGAATTCTAGTGTAGTGATATTTGGACCTGTAGCATACTGAGGTAAAGGGTTATCATATTTGTTCAAACCGATGACCTTGACCCTTTTTCAAGATCACATGAGTTCAAATATATTAATACCTTCATAGGGGTCTGATATTTGGCATGTATCATGCTAGAATAAAGGGATATTAAGATTGTTTAATAAATGTCTTTGACCCACTTTGTAAATCACAAATGATAAATGTGTGAAAAGCTTTGAACGACATCTTTTGAGTATCCAAGAGGCATGGGATAGTGATAAATAGCCTGTAGCATGCTGGAGGGAATAGACATGAACATTTATTTAAATTCATGACATTGTCCAACTTTTAAGTTTTTGTGGTTTAAATGTGTATAAATCTTTAAACAACTACCAAGATGTATTATATTTGGTCATGATATTTGGCCAGGAGGATACTGTGATAAAGTGCTTTCAAATTGGTTCAAATTAATTACCTTGATTAACTTTCAGGGTCACAGGTGTTAAACCATTAAATATTCAAGAGATTAAGAGTAATAATAATTGGCCTGTATCTTCTGGGTGGAAGTTCTGTCAGTTTTGCCCGAGTAAATGACGTTGATCAACCTATTTTTTGTCTCTGGGATTAAATGTCTCTGGGATTAAATGTATGAAAAATTTGAAATAACTTCTTTTCAATGTCCTTAAGACATAGAGTCACATTTAGCTTGTACAATGTAGCTTACCAAGATAACACACTAGCAAGTTAGTTAAACTAAACGACCTTGACCAACTTTGAAGGTCACAAATATGAAACATTTTTGTCAATTCCTTTGAATGATAACAAGTAAGAGGCTTAAAGTGATAGTCCTTTTGAACCTGTTGTTTGATATGCCTCCACACTACTACTATTTCATGTACAAAAACATCAATGAAACTGATTGATATACACCAAGTAGACTTTGCAGGCAAACCTGGACAGTTAAAATCTACAGGTACAGTACAGTATTGGACTTATACCATATTTTCTCTCAGACTGACTTAGCAAGTCAAAAAGCCATTTGAATTGACAGCAAATTTAAAGCAAGCACTTGGATAGGATACAAACGAAAACACTTTTCATTGATGTTTTTTCAAATTTAATTTCTTTCCAAATATTTCAGATGCAATGGCTTGGAGGAGTCGGTGCCAAATGAAGAAACTGTCAGTGAAGAGCTCAATGTCGGAGATAATGATATAACATTCACCATCAAACCATTTCAAGTGCTTTCCTTTATCATTGACCTGTAATAGAGGTCACCAGATCTTCAAGGTCATAACAATCTACATTGCCAGTGCCAAGAGCAACCTTTTTTTTATGGAAGCATCATGTTGTAGTTGAAAATCTGTTACATGTCCTGTATTACTTTTATTTTATGAGAGCCACATTCTGGATTTTATTTTTTTACTTCATAGGCATTAACCAAACATGTTATTTTAATCCAATCTGGCCTTTAGGGCTAATTAAGCAAGCTTATGCTGCGGTGCTGAGTGTCCTCCATCAACTTTTAATTCAAAATGCTAGTTGTCAAGAACGACGTAAATGATTTTTGACCAAAATCTGAAACATTGTTGAGGCAAGAGGAATTAACATTGTATAAATTGAGATTATGGCCCTCCTGGGGTTGGGGGGAGCACAAATAAAGCATTTTAACATAATTTGGTCTAGAACATCCATTGGCAAAGAGGATCCAGCTTTGTGTAAGTTGAGGGTGCAGCTTTCTCCTAGGAGCAGAGAGGGCGTAACCCATGACCAATAGGGGAAATACAGGTAAACATTTGAAATCCTACTCCTTCTGTATTGGTAAATGGATTTTAAGATAATTTGGTCCCGGCATCTTTTGGCCAAGGCCATAGGACCAACATAGTATAAATGGATGGTATAATTTTCATTCTAACTGGAGTGGTGTTTGGAATTTGTAAATCAGAAAGGACTACCAGAATATTATTACATGTGATGTAAACCTTCTTATAGTATTGACTGGGTGGTGAATTTTTCTGTTTCTTTAAAATTGTTAAAAAAACATTCTCAGTAGAAATGATTATTGTCTTTTACATCAATATAACGATGTATTTTTTATATATACAATGTACATATCATGATTGCAGCTCTGTATTCAGTAGTACAAATGAGATGTGACTCAACTTATTTTTTTACAGCGTTCTTCGTCGTATTGTACATGGTACATAAGTGGGTTAAAAAGCTTTATATTTTACATACAAATATAGATTTCAACCAAAGTTGTAGCAATTTTTCTTTTTTAATCACCAATGAAAATTGTTTTTATTAAATCATACAAATCAGTACTTGTATAAAAACTGTATATCCTTATTAGTTACTCCATACTAATCTATTGTTTATATTTGTTTACTACATATACACGAGTATATTGTATCAGTGTCACAGAACTGCTTATTATATACAGCAGCTATAATGCTATATGGTTTTTCTGTGTCTGTAAGTTAAAAGCTTGCTACAGCAGCTGTAAGATTGGTGTGGTTCGAGTCAGGGGGAAGTTTGTTATGGCAGAATGATGTAAACTAATTGTTGGTCTGTGTCAGATAAATGTTTATTACAGCTAGCAGCTGTATTGTTAATGAATATTTGCTACAACAGTTTTAAGGTAAATGTAAATGTTTGTCTGTGTCCGAGGAATGCTTGATACAAGGGTGATAAGTTTAGTGTCATCATCATGTGTCTGTGTCAGATAAATGCTTGTTACATCAGCTGTAAGGTATAAGTGTTGGTCTTTGTCAGAGGAAAGCTTGATACAGTGGTGGTAATTTTAGTGTCATCAATTGTCTTTATCAGATAAATGCTTACATCAGTTATAAAAAAGTGTTTAGCTGTGTCATATGAATACCTGTTTCAGTAGCTGTAAGGTAATTTTCATTCTGTGTCAGAAAAATTCTTGTAACAGCTGTATAAGGTTTAGCTGTGAATCATGATTCAAGTGTTTAGTGAGAGGTGTTACAGGTGATATAGTGACATATACATAACTGATAATGGATCCGGTTCACTTAGTTTACCTGACATGAAATGCATGTGGTGCAGCATCTGTGTGTCCTCGACGTCTGTTTCCTTTAGTATGGGGCCTACGTTCATGATGCAGTGTGTACTGTAGTTTGCTGGGTTGAGTTACTATCAAGTTGGCGCAGGTAATTGACATTTACTCATTTACAAGGTCAAGAGGTTCAATATGGTAACACCTTAAATTCTTTTTCTACAAAGCCTTGCATATGATGAGTAGTGTTGTGAAGTCGGTTTTGTTTGCTGGGGCGGGAGTCTGTTGATCAGATGAATGACCTTGACCTATTTTTAAGGTACTTATAATATCATAAGGGTCACTTTTCAAACTTTTATACAGCATCTTATGAAAAACCACGAAGTCTAAGAAACAAAGTCACATGAGTCTGATGTGTACAGATCTACAAAAAGGCTCTCCAAATGCATAAGGCCTAGAGTGGTGATATTTGGCATTGGATGATTGGAGTGAAGGCTTAAAATTTAGTGAAATGTGTGACTTTGACCTACTTTTGAAGTCACAAGTCAAATATTTTAAAAACAATTGACTTGTTCTGCAAAACCATAAATCAAATATGCCTAGTCATCTTATTTCTGGCATATACCTTGCTTGGGAAAGTGTTTTTGTATTTGGTTGAACTTTGACCTACCTAGAAAGTCACAATTGTTAAATATTTTAAAATTAAATTCAAAAACACCAAACAATAGAAAACAGATGAGCGAATAAGGCCTATGGGCATCTAATGGTGTTATTCCTAGACCTGTCTGTTCACTACTGTTGGTGTAAACAATGACAATTCACTGTAGTTCTTTTTCTGTGTATTAGTTAATGATGTGCAAATAAGTAATTGTTTTAATTGAGGGCAAAAAATAAAAACAAACAATTACAATAACAAATACACCAAATGTAAGCCTGTCAACATTTTAACTGACCAGCCCGGTATGATTGTTGCTGATGCTTTATATTTATCCTATTCAGGTATTTATATAATCTAGTGCAATAAATAGAAATAAAGTTTGTTCTACCAATTCTCTGACATGATGTCTAACTTTGAGAGTGCAATCATGACTGAATGGAATAAAAACCTAATACTTTTCTTATGTTAATTCTGTGTGAGTTTTATATTTTCACATACAAATAAAGCATCTCAATTTATACTTCTTGTTCTAGTGTAATTCATATATCTTTATTTCTTGCAATGAATATTATTGTCTTTGTGCTACACACATTCACAATATTTGCAATATGGAAGTGTTACAAAATAAGTTCTGACAAGTTAACAACAGGCAGCCTTAATACAATCTGTACGTAGTA